GGGTTTTTTTTCTGTATTGTAGTAGGGTCATCTTGTGTAACTTAATTAAAATTTTAAAAAACAAAAGGAGCACGCACACAATACCCACGTCATCACAGAAGGAAAACCCCAGGTGCTCAGAGAATCCCTTACAGTTTTGACAGCAGATTGAACGTGGGGGTGGAGGCAGAGTTGCTGTGCTGGGTTGGGTGCTTTGCAGGATTTGTCCACCGCCTGGAATGAGGTGCAAGGCAGGAGGAGGGTTCAGTGTGGACCCACCGGGCTGTGCAGTGCTATTGGGGCCTCTTCCTGATCTGGCGGGGATGTGGTGCCTGCTGCATCTCTCTTTGGAGTTGGGGGGGTGATGCTGGAGGCCCCGGTTTCGGGCACACCACTCCCCTCGGAAAGACACAAGCACATCCCGCACACGCGGAGCGGGGGAGGTCGCCTTGGCGAAGGAAAGAAGGCAAGGGGCGGCTGCCTCCCCCTCCCCCCCCGCTCGGCCTGGCCCCCAAAGGAGCCTCTGCACTCTCTCCGGGAGGGGAGGACCTGCGACGGCTGCCTCCCGCCATGAATCCCGCCGCTCCTGCTGCTCCGGTCGGCTCCTTCGTTGAGGGGACAAGGGGCGCCAGGCTGGGGGCAGGAACAGTCCCCAAGGAGAAGCAACGTCCACCCCGGGACCGGGCCGCCCTCTCCGCCTTTCTTCCCCCAGTCCAGTGGCAACGAGGGACGTTTCAAGGCCGCCTTCTCTGCACTCCGCCACCTCGTCCCTTCCCTTCTCCTTCCCTTCCCTTCCCTCCCCGCCTCCCCTCCCCTCCCCTGGCGAGTCCAGAGGGCTCGTCAAGGCGTTGCCCGCAAGCCACGACGGAGATTCCCGTAGGGCGGCCGCAGCTTCTCCGGAGTCCCGTGAAAGCCCCCCCCCGCCTCCTGTCCGCCGCCCAACCGGCCAAAAGGTCCCTCTCCCTCCCAGGCAACAAAAGCGGTCACCGCCGAGGCCACCCAGCAGCCGGGAGAAGAGGGCGGAGCTGGCTGGGGAGCTGCGGGTCGGGTTGACCAGCTGCGCCGATGGTGGCGGGGCCGCTAGAGACAGCCCTCCCGGCCCACGGGGCCCAGAAGGGCACTGGCCATCCCGGGGACACCGGGGGACTGGTGGGGGGGAGGCGGCGGCCAGCCAGCCAGCAGCTGCAGCCGCTTTCAAGGACTAAGAGGCCAACGGGAAGGAAGGTCCGCGAAGGGCCCTGGTTTCTCTAGCTCCTCCGACCTCACGGTTCCGGTGCCGTCGAGGTTTTCCCTGGGCTCGACGCTCCTTCGGCAGGCCTGGGGGGAGGGGTAAAGGAAGGGTCTCCCTCCAGAGCCCGCCCTTGCCCCGGAGCACCAGCCGGCTAAGCCCCGGGGCAGGTCCAGGCCCCGCCTGGCCGGAGAGCGGAAAGATGGCTCGACGTCTGATGGTGGTGGACAGAGTGGACTCCCCTCGGGGCAGAGGCTCAGTCGCGCCTTGGCCGGCTGGGGAGAGCACAACCCCGTTTTCCAGGGAAGCGGCTGAGAGCTGCAGGCAGATACTGTAGATGCATGGGGGCGGGAGCGGCGATGGCAGGCTCAGGCTGGCTTCCCGGACTGTGCCGGACGCGTTCGTCCCACGGGCCACCTAGACCGCCCGGCTTCGGGGGGGGGAGGGAAGAAAGCGGGCGGGCGAGTCATAAGCCCTTGCTGGCTCCCTCTTTCCCTCTCTTCTCCTTAGGTTCCCCCCCCCTTTCAGGTCGGCCCCAGCAAACAACGCCTGCCGCTGTTTAAACAGCTGTTGCTTAACCGGCTTTCCTAACAATTTATGGAGAAAAGCCCCACATGTCCACGAGAAGGATCGCGTTTTCTTCAAGGGCCAGCGGACGGACGGACGGCTGCAGAGAAAGCGAAAGAGGAGGCGCTCTGCACCTGCTCGAAGGGGCTCCTGTGAAGCCTGGAGGAAGAACGCGGATGCTGTGGAGGGCACTTCTCAGGAGGGGCGAACCCCCACGCCCCGTGTCAAAGGAACGGCTGCGGGACGCAGTTGGGGAATGGCTTCGCTTCGGGGGCTTGCGGGGAGGGAAGAAGGGCGGGCTCGCGCGCTCCCTCCCTCCCTCCCTCTCTCCGAAGGCGAGTCCGGCCCTTGCGCGGTGGCCCACCGCTCGCGCAAAGGAAGCGGAGTTTGGGGCGCAAAGGGCGCCGAAGGAGAGCCCGCTTCGGCGGCGTTGGCTCCTTTCTCACCGAGCTGCCTCGGACCGGCCTTTCACGCCGTGGGGGCGGCGGCAGCAGCAGCAGCAGGAGGACGCTCTCCGCCGGAAGGGGAGATGAAGCGTCTCTGCCGAAGTTTAGCGCCCGAGGGGTTAAAATAAAGGGGGGGCAGCGTTATTGTTGCGGCGCGTGCTCGCTCGCTCCTTTCCCACGTACGCCCACGCGTTCACCCGCGCGCTTTCCCCCGCTCTGGGTCCGGCTGCCTTTCGGGAAGCCTCGCCCGCCCTCCTGCTCCGCAGTGCCGACGGATCAGCCGGCGAGCCCCCTCTCGCCAGCCTGGCCAGGCATGCGGCCTCCGAGGAAGCCCCGCTGAAGGCAGGAGCGCCTCCCCCTCGGCACGCCTTCCCCGCCCGGGGACAAGGGGCTTCACCCGCGCGCTTTCCCCCGCTCTGGGTCCGGCTGCCTTTCGGGAAGCCTCGCCCGCCCTCCTGCTCCGCAGTGCCGACGGATCAGCCGGCGAGCCCCCTCTCGCCAGCCTGGCCAGGCATGCGGCCTCCGAGGAAGCCCCGCTGAAGGCAGGAGCGCCTCCCCCTCGGCACGCCTTCCCCGCCCGGGGACAAGGGGCGCCGGACTGNGTCATCCCGTGAGAGGCTGCCGGCCGTCTGGGCGGGGAGGTCAGCAGCCCAGCCCAACCCAACGCCGGGCTCTCCCGGCCGTCCGCATCCGGCACACCCTCTCGGCGTGCCTTGCCAGTCTGGGGGCCAAGAGCCGAGCCGCCCGCCCAGGTGCGCGGCTGTCCTTCGGAGGAGCGTCTCCGTGCGCCCAGCGGGGCGTTCCCGGGCCACCCGGCCTCGGCTGCCC